GCTTACAGATGGCAGATCTTGAGACTTCTCAGCCTCTTTAATTATGTGAGCCAATCGCTATAATAAATACCTCGCTATCCATCCGTCTATTGGGTCGTTGGAAAAGTCCTGCTGTATTTTTCTATGCAAAAATGCATCATGACTTTTCTGACAACCCAATATATATCTCATTGGCTCTGCTTCCTGGGTCAGTCATGACTAATACAGAAGATAGCCCAGCCCCTCACTCCTTCCCTAGGATGCTTCTGACACGGGTGTTTGCGATGTCTCCAGCTGGCTCTGCAGAATTCCATGCCCGCCGCTCGCTGTAGGGCCCGGCACGTGACAGGTCCTTGGACACTTTTCCTTTCCTGTATCACTCCCTCCTTGCCCTGCCTCCTTCACCGTCCCATGTGCCTTGCACCTAACTCCCAATAAAGGACGTAGATCTGGTCAGCTTCTAGGAGCATCCCAACTAGGACAAGACTGGAAGCAAAGAAGTACCAGGAAAGAGAAACGGTTCATAAAGATGACTGGAGCATGGAAATCTGTGGTGTCCAGAGTCCAGGGAAGCATGTGTCTGAGTCCATACAGACAGAAAGAGGGCTCGGAAGGGACTGGAGAGTGTGCTGGGAGGAAGTTGGGCCAGATGGCTTGGACTGAGTGGCTTCACCTTCAGTATGACAAGAGATCGGGTCAGCTTCGAGAAGGAGGAAAATGTAGGCTAGCATTTCCTACTCTGTGTTTCAAGAAAAGCCACCATTCTTTCAAGATATAACAGGACAGGGAACCAGCAGTTAGTGTAATGGCTATGTCGCTGGACTCCCACGTAGTCAACCGCGTTTCGCGTCCCAGACCCGGTGGCTTAAAACTCACGCCAGGCACATGTGCGTGCGTGCCCAAGATCCCGAGAGGAGAATGGAGGAGAAGGGATTGTGGCATGGCCATCCCCTCTGGGGGGTGATTTCTCGCTTTCTGTCTCTATGTCTCTCTCTGTCTGTCTGGTGAGCGCATGCGCCCTACAGTGAAAATCTCTCAAAAAAAAAAAAAAAAGATATAACAGGACATGATTGGCAAGGGTTCATGTTCAGGTAGATTAGGGAAATTTGTGTGCTGTTTGGCACTCTGATTTGTACCAGTGACCTCGGATACCGATAAGCTGCTGAACAAGTGACTAGCTTAACTTTTTTAACCTGCCATTTCCCAATTTAATCTGGGAACTCTTTCCTTCCCTCCTGTCCTCCACAACAAAACAAACAAAAGAAATACACACACAACCCCTTGAAAAACCAAACCATTCACAGCTCAAAGGACACCTGCAATCTATGGGACACATTTTGCATGGGAGAGTCAAGAAGACAATAATCACGAGACAAACTAAGAAGAAGGGACAGATGAATTTGTGAGTGTGCAGCATTAGCACGATTTCTTGTTTGCGTTTTTGCCAGCGTTACTGACTGACCTGGAGGAAATGGCCAGTATACATGTCCACGTGGGCCAGCTCTGTGGTGCAGAATACTGCACTGCTCGGGAGAAGCTAGATGCCACATGATGACCGGGATTCGAATCCTTGCCCGGTCAGCCTGAAAGACACCAAGCATGTGTATGAATACCCAAAACCTGACGGGCTGAAGAACTGGAAGAAGGGGACTGTGGTGAGACCAGACATGTGGAAGGTACTTCTTTCTCCCTCTCTCTCTCTCTGTCTCTCATGTACTTGCATGAGGTCTAACACGAATAAAGAAAAAGACAAATGCACCCAGGTGCCAGAAGAGTGGAAAATAAAAGAAGCAGGCGACTTGGGTGTTGTTGACAGCACTGTTGGACTTACCTGCTTGGGAAATGTGGCTAAGCTCCTCCTACAGAAGCCTTTCTGACGACTGACGGCTGTCTTCTCACTCTGCAGAGGACAGTGCTAAGGCGGTAAGAGGGCAAGGGAGCGGATGATGCTGTGTGAGGTATCACTAAGGAGAGGACAGTCCAGATGAGTCTTAAAGAATAAATAAAAGTGGGCCCAGCAAGCAGCATGGAGGTTAAGGTGCTGGACTCCCTCATGGCCATCCACAGTTCAAGCCATACTAAGCATGTGTGCAAGCTCAAAATCCTGAGAGGAGAATGGAGGGATCGCTGTGTGGCCATCCCTGCTGGGGGGTGATTTTTCATTTTCTATCTCTCTGTCTCTCTCCAGTGAGCACACATGCCCTATGGCAAATAAAGAAATAGACAAACAAGAGTTTGCCCAGGAGGTAAGAAGGGAAAAGATATTCCAGGCAAATGTACAATCACGTATGTGTAACAGGCACAGTAGCTCCTCCTGACCCACGGGGTAAGTTCTAAGACCCGACATGGATGCCTGCAAATTTACATCGTACTAAGGCAATGTCTCTTTTCCCCCTACATATACATACCTTTGATAAAGTTTAATTTACAAATTAGGCACAGTGAGAGAGTAACAAATAACTGATAATAAAATAGAACATAGTAGCATCACTACTCTTGAGCTTTGGGGCCTTTATTCAGTAAAATAAGGGTTACTTGAACAGAAAAACTGCAGGACCTCAACTGTGGATCTGATAACTAAGCCGACTCAGTGACTGATGGCATATTTGGTGTGGGTACCCTGGATGAGGGGATGAATCATGTCCCTGCTGGAACGAGTTGGCACAAGATGTCAACACTCCATTCAGAATGGTACCGTATTTGTTGTTCAATTCTGGAATTTCTTGTTTAATGTTTTGGGGCCTTGATTGACCCAAAAATATTAAGATACTGAAATGGTGAAAAGAAAAATCATAATTAGGGGGAAATCCTGTGTGTGTATATTTCTGACCCCCCCTCCCCCCAGGAACCTCAATCCTCCAGTAAGCTCCTTTATTGCCCAGCAGTTTTTCTCTCCCTGTTGGGTCTGGACATACTCAGCATCCTTCCAGATGGAGTAGGGGCTGGGAAGGGGCTCCCTTCTTTACCTCTCTGCAACTGTCCACTGGTCTCTCTTCCCAGCCAGGTTTCTGGAAAGACTCACGCATATTTGTTCTCTTCCTTTTAGGCAGACTTCAGTTCAATCCAATCTGTCTTCCACCTGCCAAAAGACAGAATTACAAATTTAGTTTAGAGATCTCAACTGGTCTTTCTAAAAAGTTTCTTTCTTTCTTTTATGAGTGAGAGAGCGAGAGTGGGTGAGGCAAGGATGCACCCTCAATGAGTTCTTCACATCACCAACTACCCCTAGCTTCAGCCAACCCCAGAGCATGGGCATGCCTCTATTCAGAGTGTCCAGGAAGATCTCTGGACCTGAACTTGGAACCTTCCTACAGGAGTCAGCCTTACCGAGTGCCGGGCTACTGATGGGCCACCCTGTGGCCCCCCTAATTGGATGTATTTGCAATTCTAGAATTGGGCAACAGCTCATTCCGTAAAATAGAGTGAGTGTTGAGCTGATCGGCTGAGTTTGGCTTTAGAGACAGAAAAGGGATGAAGAAAGCAGAAATCAAGAACAGGAAGTGGATGGGTTGTTTCAACGTTACTTTTTCCATAAGGGTTGAAGCAAAGTGAGCTTCCTTACCATGCTGACTAAAACTGGCCTGCTAAAGAATGGGCTGTCCTCTCTCATCTCTATTTCTCGGAGGATTGAACAACTCAGTTTGGGTTTGGTGGCATGGAACGTCAGCATGAGCGACTCCATCTCAGTTTGGTCTATTAGGCCTTGTGAGGAGCTCAGTCCAAATCAACAGCTTTGGTTTTAATCTGCTCTATTGCTAATGACAGAAAATATCCGGATTTCATTAATCTCAGAGAATAGAGGTTTATTTAGCTCATGGTTTAGCTCACAGAGGCCCAAGGTCCAGGACCCACCTCTGGTAGGGGTCTTGCAGAGCCCCAGAGCATTACACCACCAGGGTGAGAGTGGAGCAGAGAGTGGCTGTGTCTGTGATTATCTGTCATCCCCTGAGGACTCCATCATGGTCCCTGCCCTGGTGGCCTCAATGCTGATCTCTTCCCAAGTCTCCACCTTACCACACCATAATCCAATTGAGTTTTTGCCCTTTTAATTCACATCTCGAGTGAAATAGACCTTTTAGGGGACACACAACTGAGACACCTTCCTAAGTTTAACACAGCTTTTTCCTTAGAAATTTCTCTCTCAAGGTCATCAGTTTGCCAAATCCAATCCCAATAGACTAGTTTCTGTCCTCACAGCTCCTGACCTTTCTGTGATATTTTATGCCTATATATGTCCTCCTTCCTGAGTCTTTCTCCTCCTTGACCCTCTAAGTAGGATGAACATACAATTTATCATTCGAACTAGGTCACTGTTGAAAGTGAAAAGAAGCTCCACTTTTTTTTTTCCTTTTCCTTTCTGAAATTTTGCTTTAGGGTGTGTACACTTTCTGGAGAGACAGAGAAAGAAAATGAGAAAGCACCTTTCAGGGTGATGGCCACATAGCAGTCGGTCCTCCTCACCCACACCAACTGCTGTTTCCTGATGTGGGGATTCCTTCCAACTCCGTTTTCCTATGATCCTTAGACCTCCAGCCTCCAGGCCTCCAACAGGCAGAACCTATCACTGGGTACACCCTTCCTGCAAGGCCAGGAAGTTTTCTCTACTGCCCAGACTGGAGAGGACTGACAAGAACACAGACCACTTTAGAGAGGTTTTTGTTTTGTTTTGTTTTGTTTTGTTTTTTGTTTTTTCCATAGGGTGTGCCTACTCACCAGAAAGACAGAGAGACAAAAAGTGATAAATCACCCCCCCCCAGGGGGGATGACCACACCACAATCCCTTCTCCTCCATTCTCCTCTTGGGATCTTGGGCACGCATGGCACGCACACCCGGCGTGAGTTTAAGCCACCAGGTCAGGGACTTAAACAACGGTCGACTATGTGGGAGTCCAGCGACATAGCCATTATGCTTACTGCTGGTCCCAACACAGACCACTTTGGAGAAAGGGTGGAGGTGAGGTTTGAAACTAGAAAAACCGTCAAGTAGAAAAAAAGCACCTAGCTTATTTAGAAGTTAAAAGCAAACTATGGAATGCTTCACACATTTGCATGCCATCCTTGTGCAGTGACCATGCTAATCTCCTCTGTACCGTTCCTATTTTAGTATATATGCTGCCAAAGCGAGCACAGAAAAGAGGTACCACTTCATAATTATGCCAGGCTCATTGTCGTAAACCAAGACTCCCAGGGAAACTCAGACATATGGTCACTCCTGCAATCCTGTCCTCCCAAGACTCCCTTTCCTTCTCTGGTTGCTCATCCTTAGACTCCTTTATGGGATCCTTTGCCTCCATCTACTCCTTAAACTCTTCCACTCATGCTACACCACACCCCTGCATGATCTTATCCATTGGCATCAATCTCTATCCACAGATGACTCCCCACTTACCCTGTGAGCACTGTATCTTGATTCTATAGTCCATGTACAAGAATCTAACTCTCCCTGAACGTCCTAGAGGTAAGTACACATCTACCCACCAAACTTGTCCTCTTCAACCCAACGGTTCTCTCTTCCAACAGAATTGTAGATTGGGGACTATATGGAGGAAATGGTGGTGAAGGTAATAGGTTTTGGAGTAGTGATTACCTGGTCCATAGCCTAGCTTATCCATGAACTAGCCATGCATATTAATATTAATATAATTATTTAACCTCTCCAAGCCCCAGTTTCCTATCTGTAAAATGGAGATAAAAATGCCTACCTTAAGAGCTGATTATGAGGATTAAGTGAGACAAACAGGGCACTTTATGAGCCAGTCAGTTCTATATGGCTCATATATATTATTTCATTTAATTCTCACAACAACCCTCTGAGGTACGTGTCATATTTATGTCTCTTTTATAGATAAGCCACCAGAAGCACAGAGAGATTAAATAATATCTATAGGCTGGCAGCAGAATTAGAGTTCAAATTCAGGAAGTTTGGCTCCAGAAACATCCTCTCAAGCACCTCAGTGTTCTGTGTATGCAAAGTTCTTCAAACAGTATCCAGCATATAATAAGTGCTTAGCACATTATTTCCACCTTCCACCTAGTGTACCAAACCAAATCCCCAGGAAGAGTCCTAATAACTGTCATTCTGCCTCACTCCACATCCATTGAGTCCTATCAACTATACCTTAAACTCTTAAGTCCTTTACCAGAGTATACTTATTTAGTTATTGTTATCTATTCCTAGTGCATTGGCCAAGAAGTCTTGATATTGAAAAAATCAACTATCAGAGTAACACATGTGAATGGAAAGGCCTAAATCTCTTCCTGAGTTTGAGGCTTTTCTTTTCAAACTTCTTTTCTGCTGGTTTTCTTGGAACCTCACTCCACTACCACAAAAACAAACCCCAGCCTGCTTTCTGGAAGATGAGAAACTTTATTGAGCAGAAGTGAGCCATCCCAGCTGCAGCCACCATTATCAATAAGTGCCCAGACAACCTAGCAACTGAACACAGACACATGAGTGTGCTTGGCCATGACCAGAAGGTCCACCCTGCTGACCCCAGCCCAAATTGCTGATCTGCACCAAATTGAGCTGCCCCCATTTTCCTGCGATTCATAGGCCTTCAGCCCTAAGGCTTCCACCAGGCACTAATAAAATAAATAAATAAATAAATAGTTATTTTCAGCCACTAAATTTTGAGATAACTACTTATATAGCAAAAGCTAATTGATATACTTGAGTATTGTATTAGTCAGCTTAGGCTGTCATAATGAGACTTGACACACTGAGTAGCTTAAGCAATAGAACTTTATTTTCTCACAGTTCCAGAGACTAGAAGTCCAAGATCTAGGGGTCAACAGGGTTGGTTTTTGGAAAGACCTCTCTTCCTGGCGTGCAGACAGTCAACTTATCACTGTGTCCTCATGTCCTTTTCTCTGCAGAGAGAGAGATTGATCTGGTGTCTCTTTTTCTTCTTATAAAAATGTCGATTATTTTGGTCTGTTATTGTGTTGCTAAACAGAAATGCCTGAAACTAAATAATTTACAAAGAACAGAGGTTTATTTGACTCACAGTTCATGAGATCAGCATCTGGCTGGTGTTTGGTGCTATGTCACAACATAATCAAGAAAAGCAGGCAGGGGGCCAGCAGGTGGCACGGTGGTTAAGGGCGCTGGCTGCAGTCCTAGTCTCAGATCTGGTGGCTTGCTTTTTCACTTTATCTCTCTCTGTCTCTTTCTCACTCTGTCTCTCCCTGGTCAAATTAAAATACATAAATATGTAAATAAAGTTCAAAAAAATAATTCCTAAAAAAGAAAATAAAAGAGAAAAGCAGGCAGGGCAGGACTTATGTGCAGAGAGAGAAAACTGAATTCCCACCTCTTTTGTTTGTCCCTCTCACACCCCTTGCTGTTTGGAGAGTGTCCTTTCATTAGGCTATCTCTTAAAGGTCTCTCCACCTCCCAAAGCCATTACACTGGACCAAGCTCCCAGGATGTGAACTGTTGGGGAACAAATCATTATCCAAACTGGAACATCAGTCTTACTGTATTAGGGCCCCATCCTCTGGCTTTAAAGGCCCTACCCCTAAATACAGTAACTTGAAGGATTAAGGCTCCAATATGTAAATTTTGGGAAGATGAAACTCAGTCCATAGCAGGTACCAATCCTCAAGTGCAGTAGAAGTCATGAGAGCTGCAAAGATCACTTGAAAGGAGTGTGCTACTACAGCTGAATGCTCCCCAAATTCATGTGTTAAGATTTGGTTGTCATGGGATTGAGAGGGTAAGAATTTAATCTGACTATGGTGTTGAAAGTTGGGGCCTTTGAGAGGAGATTAGGTCATTAGGGTGGGTCTAATGATTAAAACCTGGTGGGTTTTCCCCTCCAGATTCATTTCTGCTGAGAAAGGCACATCGCCAGGCCCATCCTTAGTTGGGTACCGAACTTGAGCTGTGAAATATTGGTTTCCTTGACTAAAAATGAAAGTTTTCTGCTGAGACTTCCCCCTCCAGATTCATTTCTACTCAGTAGGGTCTACTCTGTCTCCTTCTCACCATTTCTCTCTGTCTCTGTGACTTTTAATTTTTTTTTTTTAAGGTAAAGTATTCTCTGGGCTCTTAAGCCTCTCCTTTATTGTGCTAATTGGTGCCTTTCCCCATTCCATTTAGGAAAGGCACACCTCCAGGCCCATCCTGAGATAGACACCAAACTTGAGTTGCGAAATATTGGTTTTCTTGACTAAAAATGAAGATTTTCTGCTGAGACTTCCTATTTTACTTTTAAAAATTCAAATCTAAAGTTTTTTAATCACATTTTTTTCTTTCTCCTTTTTAATTTTATTTTTTCTTCTTCTTTACTCTTCTCTAATTCTTGTCCTTTTTTCTTTATCTTTATTCATTGACTACTCAGCCTCTATGCACTAAGTGTCTAGACAGGTCCAAGTGAACAGAATCCAAACGTCTGAGTATGATTAGGGTCAGAATATTCCTCTATCCCACTGATGTGAAGCACAAAGTGTGAAAATGGAACGGAAGAGAGATTGTGGATCGCCTCCTCCAGCACACCTCTGAATGCTCGAATTGAACTTCAAGAATTAGGAAGAAATGCACCATCCATCTAGATGACTAGAAATCACCACAGAGTCACAAGAAATATGGGAAAGCAAGAAAATACCTCTCTTCCAAGGGAAAAGAATAACTCCTCTTCATCTTCAGACAGTATCATGAAACTCATGTAAATGTCAGATGAAGAATTTAGAATATCCATAGTGACAAAGGTGACAAAGCCAACAGAGGTGGAAGAGAAGAGAGAAAATGAACCACAGAAGAGGCAGGAGAAAGAAGCTGACAATTTCAAAAGGGGAGAAAATTCTTGCAAGATCTAAAAGCAGAAATACACACTATAAAAAAGAATCAAATGGACCTGTTAGAGATGAAGGCTATAATACAGGAAATCAAAATCTCCCTTGAAAGTATTAAAAGCAGACTAGATCATACAGAAAATAGAATCTCAGATGTGGAAGATAGAAACGCTGGCCTAGAAAAGTCCGCCACAGACACAGAAAATTGCCCCCCCAAAATCAGAATAACATATAAGAAATACGAGGTACCTTCAAATGTTGAAACAACAGGATAATTGATATGCCAGAAGGCTAAGAGACTCATAAGGGCATTGATAATCTATTCCATGAAATCCTGGAAGAAAACTTTCCAAACCTAGAGAGGCATTCAAAGATCCAGTCCCAAGAAATACAAAGGACCCAAAATAGAATCAATCCAAGAAGATCTTCTCCAAGACACATTATAGCCAGACTGACCAAAGCCACAGACAAAGACAAGATACTAAGATTGGCAAGAGAGAAACATCAAGTTACCTACAAAGAATATCCCATCAGGCTAACAGCTAACCTCTCATTGGAAACAATGTGAGAGAGGAAAGAATGG